CAGCGGCTAAACACTGTTTGCGAGGTTTGTGCTAGAGCTGTGATCTCTGTACTGTAAAAGTTAGCACAATCAGAAGCAAAGCAAAGCAACAGCTTTGCCAACATCCCCAGGATCCGGACTACTCCTTCTGGGCACTGCGTTTCAACTCTCCATCATTCCAGCAATTTTGGCTTTGCTACCAATAAAGATTTACTGGCACGTATTTATATTTACCAGGGAGGGAACAGAAACCACAGCACATTCTCAGCCCATGTGCGATCCTCCTTGTTCAGAGACTCACAAAAGCAAAGATGCATTTCCAGGGTAGAACTCACATTTGTAACATTCTCAGTCTCTCTCCGCCATACTCGCAGACCTCTGTCTTTAAAACGTGTACCGAATTCCTTAAAACAAAGTTTCCACGAGCCTGTGTATGATCCTATAGAAAGCTTGTAACATCTTGTTAAAACATAAATCCAAATTTCTCTTGAAAATCATAGTACACCTTCGGGCTTTTCAGCATATTCAAGTCATGAATATTCAGATGACTACTGAAAAGAATAAACAGATACAAAAGAAATCGTGACCTCATTTTCTCTATTTATATCTTATCAAGAAGTTTTCAAACACTGTTTGTGCCATTTGAACCCTTTTGGCAATCCTGATGGTACTTTTCTCCATTCATATATTGAAATGTGTAGCTGGCAGCTTTGCGCCACAAAGTCTTTAAAAATTTGTTTAAACAGACCTACGTGTACGACTAAAACAGAAGCTAAACAAAGTCTCAATAATCAGAAGAATTTACCCTGTTTGTTTAAAGTGCTGGATGTCAGCTACACAAAATACCACAGTGTTTTATTATAGAGATGTAAAACCATTCCATAGAGTCTTCCAACTACCCAACTTGTATTTCAGACATGGATACCAAGAGGGAAAAAAGTCTCCAGCTGTCTAGAACTCCAAATTCTCTCATTTGTACTGTCATTTAACTTAAGACAAAATTTAAGACCAGACTTTAACTGTTTCCAAATGTTTTTGTGTATGTTTCTGCTGAAACCTTTAACCATCATCTAGCACCAGAATTCTTGAACAACAAATACACCCACTGTGCTCCTTCAACTTTGTGTTCCGACATTTTCCCGTTGAATGCTTGCTATCCTACATCGATCACGGTAATACAGGGTAAGTACTTAATGACTTCGAGAGCAAAAGGATCTTGGGCAGACAGCAAGTACAAATGATTTTAAGCACTGATACACAGAAAACTCTTCATCATGTGTGGAAATGACTGTAGATACTGCAGCAGCAAAAATCAACTCAGATTATAACTTTAACTGTAAATCTCTGAAGAAACTATTCATCCTTTGAAACAATCTCACACAAACCAAATACGAGCTTTACTGAGGAAAAAATTCTCCACGCACAGTAGAAACCCGAAGCTCAGTACACGTGGAAAATGCAGAATCCTGCACTGAAGCAAACCAGAAGGGGCTCAGAAGTCTTCTCACTAATCCTGGTACGTGTTAAGCTTTTTTTCTGGAAAAGACATAACACAATGCAAACAGTAACTTAGGTTAAGCATTACCTTCTCCGAGTCCTACAGCTGAACGCAACCTCCCACGGGACTTGTGAGCAGCCGTGGAGCAGCCGTGACCGATGAAGCACTCCGAGTCGGTAACTCGGGTAACGCTCCAGGCACTTCGCAAGCCCAGGCGAGCTGCTGTCGCAGTCTGACCCACCGACTTAAGCTTTCCCTCTCAGAGGGAAAACGGTTTATTTTGGGGTGGGCTGTGGGAAAGGGTAAACATCTATTTTGAAGGAGAATTTGGCAGAAAAAATTAAAAATTAGGAGTTTTAGTCCTCGTTCTAGGTTGCTTTATTTTTTCATTTCAAGATAACTGGAGCATTAATAGAGAGACCTATGAAATAACTTACTGCCTAGGCATTTTACCTTTTACAGTCATTAAGCCTACATGCTATGGTGCAATTTACAATAAAGAAAAACACACCTGGAGTGATATATCAATAATTTATTGTTTTGCATAAGAAGGTAAGGTCAGATTTCGGGTAAGATATCAAACAAAGGACCTGATGGCAAATTCAAGTATAGAGCTTGGTACAATATGAAAAAATACGACCATTTGTTTGACTATGGCAAACAGCTAAAACACAACAGAAACATCTGGACTTGACTGTCAAAACATACGGCTCTCTAAAAACCCACACAGCACAACCTGAATATGTGGAATATTGGAAACATCTTTAGTCGTCTTTGTTCCCAAATTCTCAGGAGTCAAAGGAACAATCCTGCCCCGCTCCATGGCGTCCCAGAACAGTTCAGCACAGGGGCTCAGCATCCGTCACCATACGCAGGCTCCCGTCCTGTCAAAACTGTTGGGCTGAGGCAGCTTTTCTGCCTTCACCTACTGTCATCTCTGCCTGCCTCATGGATGCCAGTGGCTTCCGTATTTTTTTTTTTTTTAAGCAAACACAGCAATGATGTTGGTTTTCAAGAGCAATCTAAACATGTAATTAAAACTATTTCTCACTCCTGTGCCTATTTTACTCTGTCGGTTGGATTCATGTTTTTGTGGTTCCCCTTCTTCTGCAGGTGTTCCAGGTCAGGAATTAGCTCCTGGCTGGGGGCCGCGGCAGGCAGCCACCCACCCACCCAGGGGACTGGGGCCAGGGCTGCGGTGAGGCCCAGAGGGTCGGTCTCGCTGTGCAGGCACGGGGCTCCGTGCTGCCTACTGCTGCCCAGCACAGCAACCCTGCAGCAGAAGGGCCTCCGAGACCACACCGGCCCAGGAACGGGAATTAATGTAATTTCCAAAGGAGAAGAAAAACAGCCTGCAGGACAGCCAGAACTGCTTCTGACAGGGAGTTTGCAGATTATTCTAGCATCTATTTCTTAAAGAGAAAAGCAGGTCCCTGACACGAGTGTTACTGTACACTAATGGCCTGAGACAGCCCAGGTTAGAAGCAGTGCTAAGAGCATTCCTCATAGTGGAAACGGCTAGATGCTGAGAGATGCCGCGTGCCCGCTCAGTTTGGGTTGGTGGCAAGAGATGGCGAGGGCACTCGGCGTCTCACAGGCAAAGGCAGACAGACCCGCAGAATTCCAGATCCCCTGAAAAAGTCTGATTTTCAGTAACCAACAAAAAATATAGAAAACATTTTCTGAACTCACATAATCTCCATGCAATTAATTTAATCAACAAATTTCTATTTATGTTACAGAAAAGTTGAAGTCCACCAGGAAGATGGTGAAATTTGACAACAGTCACATTATAGCTGTTCAGGCAGAGCGTGGATCTGTACTGGGATTCCGTACATCTGTAATTCTTGCATAAACATTTCCAGACTCCTAGGGATTTTGCCGTTGTTCCTTGCATTTCATTTATTTTATACGACTCTAAGCCAGATGCAATGACCCACACATTAAATACGCATTTAGAATAAAACTTCAAAATCTGATGGCTTTATCAGCGTATGAACTGAAATAAAATATTTACATGGAATGTTGAGCTCCATTTACAGAGACAGTGTTTCAAATTACAGACTTACCTTAGTAAATGATCACATTGACAAGAAATTTAAAAACTTAACATCCCTTTTCAACCCCTTCATAAATATATAAAGTTTCACTAAATTCTTTTTTCTTTAAACAAGACAGCTATATTCTCTTTACAGATTAACATGAACTAACGGTTTCCTGTGTGAATGCCACAGATGCGATGATCTGAAGTCAGCCAGTTCCTATACACATTCCGTACTTACAGGACGTATTCACAACACAACGCACAGGCACTACTTGGTCTTTACAGATGCACTCATTTCCTGCACATCAGTAGTAAATAAAGAGAAATACCAAATTATCTATATTAAAAATACATCTTCTAATATATAGATTTGCTGACATTGCCACATCAAATTTTAAAATGAGGTTTCCAGCTGTGTCTGACCAGTGACAAGGATACTTTTTACAGTGAAGTCTACAGCATTAACTTCTTTTCGAGTGGAGACAAGATGTCCGGTACTGATACTACAAAGTGTCACTACATACTAAACAATAAAAAGAATTAATCTCTTGCAACTGCTTCCCAGATCTCCAAAGTTTCCTAACTAATTGTTTGACAATTTCTGATGGGAAAACTGTTCTAAAGGATGCCAAAAATGTTTGAAATCAATTTAAAGGAAAAAAAAGAAGGTACTCTCTACTTTGTTGCTATTCATATCACTTTACCACTGATTTTACAGAAGATTAATCCCAAAGACTTTGAAGTTACATACGTAGTAACTCACATTTTTCCCGATTTAAATAAATATTCCCGTGAGTTTTCTTTGTTGTGCCACAAAGCATGCGTGAAAGTATTTTCAATCCATGCATGCTCACAGCAGAGTATTTCACAATTAAGCCACTGAATACATCTTTCTTTTCACGACTACGTAAGTGCAAAGAATACGAAAATCACTCTGTACATATAAGACAAGGCTCACATCTCAAAAAGTAAAAACACTTATCTTGATACGTAATTAAAACTACGATGTTTTCCTCATAAAAATGTTGGTCGCTTTTGCCTGTCTCAGTTCTGTCATGCACTTACAGGGTAATGACTTCCAGGTGCTGATGTGCTCTTTATGGGAGCAGTTATGCTTAAAACCACCAAAGTGCTGATCTCCAGTATTCATTAGGATCTTCTGCAAATGTTAAAAAAGCTTACCTTGGAAATACACAGATGATGACAGAGGTGGCTGGCAGTTTCGTTACACTACTGCTCGCTCACTTTATGGAGCACAGCAAAACTTGGGGTTAATCTGCCTGCTCTGCCCCAAACTTGTGGGTGGGAGGATTGAAGACACAGGAAAACAAGACCAGTTCCAAGTGCATGAAGAGGACACCTGCTGCGCAGGGAGCGTCAGAAAGCCCTCCTGCCACGAAAACGGCCCTCACAGAATGCCCAACCGTGCCCCACGTTTAGATGTTGAGATCGTAGCAGATGTTTTGTCTGTTTACAAAGTTATGAATGCAGCCAGCTGACAGGAACCCAGAAGGTCTCAGTCTCCAACCTGTCAAAGGTTGTTTTAAGCTCACTGTAAGCCGTAGTGAGGTCATCATTGATGATCACCTTATCGAAAAGGTGGCCATATTGGCTCTCCATCACGTGGGCAGATTTGATCATTTCTTGAAAATCTTCTTCCTAGTAAGATCAGTGCAAGGCATAGTCAGTCCTTAGCAACATCACAAACTCCTTCTGTGGTAATGCAAAGCTACTTGCTTATTTCTCATCTCATCAGGAGATGGAAACTGGACTTTTAATTGAAAAAATTACACAAATTACCACTACAGGTGATCTCAGAGAGCATTCTTACAAGTAGACTTTGCTCCACAGGCAATTCTTTCATCTCTCCCCTCGCAGTGACACAATTAGTCGCTGCACGGTAATTACAGAGACATGTGCTGTTAGCAGTACCGGTGGAAAGTCTTTCTAGCTGTTTGATGATACGTTTAAAGTTTCGTTACTTAATTCTCAGCTGGCTATTAGCATGCGATATATTACAGTGCAGCCTTTATTCTTTTAAGAGGTGGGTCAGCACTGTCGTCCTATGCCTGGTTCGCCCTGGCTCAGGGAATTTCTCTTCAGGTTTGGGGAGGGAACAAATCTTCGGAATTTAACTGAATACATAACTCTGAGAGACTAAACCTGTCCTAACTACACAACGTCCTGAAGATTACTCTTAACAATCAACTCCTCTTATATTTTATATATAATAGAAAGCATTCTTATAGTGCATTATTTCCAAACTATTTCAAATGCATATCCGAGACCGATACTGTCTGTGATTATATCCATCATTCAGCTCAAAACAAAATCTAAAAAATCCTAAATAATATCTGAATGAGGGAAAACGATGCACACTGTAAAAAAAGTTTAACCATGACCGGCTTTGCTTTAGCTTCACTTAAAATATGATTTCATTGTATTTCAAGGAAGTAAGTAAGTTACTGTTGGGTAAGATGACTAACTTTTTTTCTAATTATTGAAAAAAAGCAGCATTTGTTACTTGCTTAGATCTTCCTCTTTCCTTCTTAGAGCATTCACTTCCCTATAACATTTAAAAAACCGTTTCTCTAATCAACAAATATGAGTTTTTTAAAGCAGCATTTACTTTTTTAATTGATGCCTTATATTTGAGCTTTCATCTAAATGTAGACCCAGTAGCACACTTGATAAAACAAGGACATTCTTATACTTGAATAGAAACATCTAAGCCCCCATGCAGATTTTTCAAAGGAAATCCACAGTGTTACTTCTCATAAAAATACACTTGCATTGTGAGGGTTCCTCGGTGACATAAAATCAAGCAGAACACCATGGAAATGTAAATATCCATGAGCATATCAAACAATGAAAACATCACAGCAAGGATGCAGGAGAGGCTGGGAAACAACGTGTATAGTATGTGCAAGCCCTGACAGGTACCGTGGATGAGATCCAGTGATAACCTTTATTTTCAAGGTAAACCACCACAAAAAAACTCTTAACAAGTTCTCATGTTTTACCATGTCTAAATGTACTCACTGTAAAGGGTTTTGCGGTTCCCTTATCATCTTTACTTGAAATAATCTTGGCATTTTTTCTGGTCTCTCTCAAACGGTCAAGTGATGGAGGCTTTATAAATATAACAAATGGTTTAAACTCGTATGTCCGTAAGTGTTTCACTGTCTGGGAAGAGGAAAGATTTTAATTAATTAGTTTATTCTGCACAATAGAATTTACTGTAATAAAAGAAACTCTCCGCTAAGCAAAACAAACCCATAAAGCACTCCTAGAAGGCTATTTTTCATTCACTGCCATCCCGCTCTGCTGACTGGCATTGATTCATGTAAGGAGAATTTTCATGTGAATGGAAAGAAAGCTGTTTCTCCAAGGGTGACCATTTCGCTTGGCTTCCACACGGCTGCTGGGAAGCCCCATCAGTCAGGCAAAGGCTGGGCTGGGCACACCAGTGCCGCTGGCAGCGGGGAGCAGCAGCGCGCTCGGGACACGGGGAAAGTTCAACAGATTTTAGCAGCAATAACACTTTCTGTACCCATGAAAAGTTGTGGGAAAAGGTGCCTGCGACACTTGGTCACAACAGATCCATGATTTTTCTCTCCAATGCTGTGTGTCCACCACGTAACTCCATGCTGCTCACTCCTCCTGAGCGTGTCCAGTGGTGCTACGTAGGGAGTTAGAGATAGGTCTATGATTCGGATCGCAGCTCAGAGTGAAGCAGGGATGACCGGCAGCTTTCTGCCCTTTTCACACTGCCAGGGTCCACAGGAGAATGCCATGACGGACAGTGGGATCCCAGGGTGGCTCACAAGCCTGAATCCCCGGGAGAATTTAGTGCTTCACTGGAAAACGGCCACACTGGACACGCAGCGGTCGCACAGAGTAGCCTGGCAGTGTCAGCCCCCGGCATCCCTGCCCAGCTCCCCTCCTCTCCTGGCCTTCCTGGCCGCTCTGCTGTCAGCGCAGCCCCCCTGCCCTGCTCCTAGGACACGACCCCATGTCCAAATATGCCCTGGGAACTGTTGTCGAGCTGCTGGGTTCAGAAGGCACAGGCTGGCCACCCTTGGAGAAGAAATACTTTGGCTGGGTTTAAAAAAACCAGTCCAGCTCCTGGAAGCACTGTGGTTTTGAACAGCAGCAGGGTTGAAAGACAAGGTCAATGTAAGAACAAATGGTTTAGAGAGGAATGTCCTTAAGAATTATCCAGCCAACATCACATTTAGTGCGTTCCTTGACTCATGTCCACCCTGCATGCAAACCCTCTGCATGAACGCTCTGGTTAAACACGTGAGGGACGGTTGCTGGACTGGATGATAGCTCCAAGCCACTCTGAAACTGAGGCCTCAGAAGGGAACCTCTCACGCAAACCAGCAGAAAGATGAATGAAAATATAGGAGCATTTTGTAATTAAATCTTTGATATTATGCTGCAGGTTTTCAATTCACTTAATTACCGAGCTGAATACTTGCTAATATGTATTAAAGTTTCCTTCCTCTCTTGCTTTCGGAGAGTCTTGCTATGATAAAAGTACCCAGCAAGCCTGCTCAACAGTCATTCAGTGTGGAACAAAACACGCCTTTTTAGAAACAATTTTTTCCTGGCATCCCGATATGCAGTGTGGGGAGCTACAGGAGTCCAAAAGCCACGCTTACTTACATGGGGCTGCACATCCAACAAACAAACTTTGTTTTTAGCTAGAACGGATCGAACAGAGTCTAAACTTGTCCCATAGTAGTTGTTCTTGTACTCGCCATACTCGATAAACCTGTGGCAGAAGGTGAAAACAACTGGAATCATTTCCATCTTCTCCAGAAAAAAAATTTATCAGTTTGGGTTATAAGATCTAATGCAGGAGCAAAAATATTTTACTTTACATGAGAGTTTTACCATGTTTTATAAAGGAAATGCTGTCAAGTACTTCAGCATGTCAATTTTAAGAAATCTTCTACTTTACCACTTTCAAATCAGTAACACCTGCTTGTATTACAGTTAAAGAGAAAAAAGTACTGCAGTCCAACAGCCCACTAATGTTTTCCATCACCTCTTTTTCTGAACTAATGCAATGCAATAAAACAGTGGATAAGCTAAACAATAGAAACTACTGAAATTTCATTGCACACTACAGAATATCCAAATTCTCTGTCTCAGAAGAGGAGGAGGAGCGACAATGGTGCTAATGGAACCAAGGCGACTGGTTATGTGCTATAAAAGTACAAGCACTGTTTGCCAAAAAAGCAAAGCACAGTTTGAAGTTTCAATAAAACCCACAGCTTTGTGTCTAATACACTTTTGCCCTCTGAAACACTGGGGCAGAATTTCAAGCTACGCTATTTTACAGGCTGCTGGAGAGCACGATGCTACCATTGTCTTCATTTTAGTTGAATTTCTGGTGGGTTTACGGGCAGGGGCTTCACTGTAGATCTCTAAATCCAAAAGCCAAGGAAGTGCCTGGCCTGCAAGCGAGCAGAACTACGCAAACATTGACTCAGGCACGTTTGCAGCACTTCCCGGCCCCCCTCCCCGAGCTGTAAAGATTTATTGCTACGACAGATGATGCCCTGTTAAAAGAGTGCTCCCCCATCCTGAACACCTACAATTTCAGTGTCTTCTCGATGAGCTCAAGCACTGGAAATACTTGAAAACTTAGAAATAGTTGTGTTTGCACATATTGCTTTTTTTCTCTGTGTTTTTGCCAGCTGCTTTGAACTGCTTATGTGTCAAAATGTAATTTTAACATATCTTCAAATCACTGCAACTCACATCCACTTTGACTTATTACCTAAAATTACAACCAGCCCCATTTTATAATAAAGCCATTGTTTTAACTGCAGTTCTAGTTAAAAATCTCTTCAACATACTTGTTATTCTGTACGTCTGTCTCAAACAAGTGCTTGGAAATGAAAATGTATTCAACGCCGTCACTTTCTTGGCTTCTCCTTGGACGGGTAGTGTCTGCAGTTTCATTAAATAGAAAGAAAAAAAAAGGGGAAAGATGCAGAAAACAATATAATGCAAACCAGCTCAGGAAACACCGAAAAGCACACAACCCTTGTGCAATACTAAGCGTAGAGGTTCCTGCACTTCTGACGGCTGCTCTGGATCTGCTAGGCAGCGCACCAGCACATGACAGGACCAAGTTTTAAAAGCATGCAGGAAAAGCAGGAAAAAACCCTACTGGACAAGTATCAGATTATCATTTTTATTAACTAGTGGAAAAATCCAATAAAATGAGGACAGCTGAATAATAAAAGGAGCAGCAGTCCATAACAATTACCCAAGCCTCGCCACTTGTTAAACTTATTAGCATACAAGACCGTAAAGGGAAACAAAGCTCACCAACCTGATTTATAAAACGTTACGTTCATTAACAACACTTGTAGCTATGGTATGCGAAGCACGATAATAAAAAATGGGGTGTGAATTTTATGTTTTAGTGCTTTTCTTCTTCTGGTGATCAAAATCAAATTCCTTTTTCTTTCGGTAGGCTTGTAGTATTTGTACTCTTACTTTCCCTTAAGTACTAGGTATAAAGGTTTTGCTTATAAATGAAACTTATTTGCGGAGTTGCCACTTATGGTTACTGAACCCATTCAAAAGTCTTATTTAATACAAGTTGCATGTTGCAGCACCACGTAGTCTCCATCCCATACGCACATGCACAACCTGCCCGCAGCAACGCAGCCTTAAATGCCATTTGATATCACCGTCGTCTCAGGCTGACATGAAGAGGAACATTTCCAAAACAAGAACCCCAGTTCTCGCTCCAAGTCCTGACTTACTGAATTTCAGCAAGAGGGATTTCTTTACACGTTTGTTTTAAATTATAACCACAAATTTGGAAGAGAAAAGAAAGAAGGCAGCTTGATGAATACTGGCAATTTTTAGAGAAATATTTTTGGGCAAATGACTGCACATGCTTCAGTGTGTTAAATATTTGGGAACATCTGGCTTTTTTTGTTGTTGTTTTCAATACCCAGCTGAAGCAAGTATGTGCAAATGAAATGACTTGCCAAACCCAAATGTATTCATTTTTCTACCTAGCATAATTCATTCACGTGTACATTCCGGAATACCTGTACTTGCAAAAAACCTGTGACAGTGTCTCCCAAATTCAGAGTGTCGGATCCGTAGTTTTGAAGGATCCCTATAGGAGGCACACGTACAAATAGAAAGCAAACCAAGGAATGAAAGTCTAAAACTGTGAAGTTCTCCATATTAAAGAAAACCCAATAAAGTATTGTAGAAGTTAATATAGCACAATGTTATAAAAATCACACTACCTGGTCAGATAGCAAGAAAGGGGAACAAAATCCCCCAATCAACTTTTCTAAAGCTAATCAAAGAGATTTAATTCGTTTATTAACAGGATTAAACCGTTTATTGTGAGTCTTCATTTTCCAGCCTCTCTAATACATAAAGGCCATTTAGCTGCAAGCAAGCATTGGTAACAGAGTACGTTTTACTGCTTTACAGCCAAATCCAGGGTGTTCTTCAGCTGAGTTTCATTTACTAAACCTTGCTGACATCAATCATGTAAAACTTGTACTAAAAGTCTACTGCAGTGCCTCTGAGCCAAAATATCCTATCAATTTTATCAATGCTATTTAAAATACAACTGCAGCAGCACTTTTAAAAATTAGAAACATAATTTGGATGCCAAGCATGCATTTAGTGACCCAAATTTGAAAGTGCCTTAAGGTAATACCAATGCAAGTATTGCATTAGCAGAACAGAAGTGTATTTTTACTTACGTGGCACTGTTACCCCGTAATGCTGGGTGTCACTGATCAGCAATTTCCGTTTAAGTTCATTCAGTCCAACCCCTACAGGACCTGAAAGAAAACAAACGTGCTGTTTCCCAGCAGCCAGTTCTCTCTTGTCTTCAGGCGTACATACTCTCCGAGATAAAAATATGTAGCATATAGCTATAATATATACTGGCCTTTAATCAGTCATTTGGAAACACTCATGCTTCTAGCCTCTCCTAGAATATACAGCGCTGACAAAATTCAGGGGATGTAGCTGGTAGTGCTCTATTACCAAGGAAAACATCAGTGAAGAAGCTGACAGCAAAGCTAACTTCCTTTTCTGCAGCAGCTACCCTCAGTATGCACCCATCTTCATCCTGGGTGCTACAACAGACCCCCATGCCCTGACCTGCAGCTTTCCAGCACAAAAACTGGTTTGGCTACTCGTTTTGCCAGAAGATCCCCAGCTCACTGACCGGACCCCAGCTGGCATGCACCAAGCCCCCGCAAAGCCTCTGCTCCCATGTTTCAGCATGGCCCATTCCTCCCTCTCTCGCCAGCAGCAGACCCCCGAGGAGCACTGCTCCGTGTTGTCCCCATGCCCCAGAAGCTCTGTGCTCCATCCAGCCCTGGCTGCGGGTGGGAACGCCACCTGGCCTCTGGCTGGCTGCAGCCACCACCGTCCACCTTTGACTGAGCCAGGGTGACATCGCACGAAGGGCGGCATGCCCCAGGTCGTAACTCGTTTGGGATGTTTGGGTTTCTTTCTTTGTTTATTATTTTCTTTTAAACTGTGCTTGTCTCCTGCCTGCTGCCTGAACTGGTCCAAAGCAAATGTTTCCTTCTTCATGTGGCTGCCAAAGCCAGACCACTCTTGGAAAGAGGATGGCAGGAAGAAACAATGACTGCATGGAATTTTTTTGACCCATCTCCTCCACCTCCATTTGAGTCCTGCTGTCCTAGAAGCTACCGAGCAGCCACTCCTCTTCGGTTTTGGGTTGTCCTTAACTCTGAGCCATTTGCCCATGGTGCTTTAGGTCTGCGAGATCTCAGAGGCTCCATGGGCCATCGCTGCTGGTCCCAGGAGCCTTTGGGCAGGGCTCCAGCCCCCCGGCCCCTTCGGTGGTGGGGCCGTGACCGGGGATGTGCAGGGGGAGCGCAGCTCTGCCAGCTCAGGCATATCTGACAGCGCAGGGGCTGCAGTTCTGCAGAGCCAGGTCAACAGCAGCACACAGAGCAGACTGAGTCACTGGAACCATATCCCAAATAATGCAAGGACAACACACGTGGTTTTAAGGCAAATTCCGACTCTTCTAGTAAAAGCAGTACATTTATGCATGGAGTGCTCTTTAAACAGAGACATTTTAGACATCAGAAATACAAAACCTAACAAACATTTTAATGAAATAGTGACATATTGGCTAACTACTGGTGAGAATGTGGTATCAAAAAGCAAAGATTGATGCTTCAGCACCTTCACCTGCCTATTCGTAAAAATGACTACCCGCCCTGTGTGAAGTTAGAAACACAGAATGACAAAAAGCAAAGGCTTGCTGCTTTGCTACTATCCCCAGACTATGGTGTCTCTGTAAAATCTTGGAATTTCTGAATTTATAATTTTTATATGTTTATATAAGTTAAACACACAACTACATTTCAACTTCCATCTCTGACCTGCCTGTAAATTAATCTATCAGTATGTATAAATGTTTATTTAATACGGTGTACAGCAGCCTCTACTGGTGCATGTCTGCAGAGGAGAGCAATGTGTCATGTAAATAATGGCATTACTTTTGTTCTTATTTTTTTTAAAAAACATTTTTCCTTTTTTAAAAGTAGAGGTATTTAAGGCAAATACGGATTTTTATAGGAAAAGCCATCAAGATTCTCAATATATCCTAGCAAAGTAGAATTAAACAAGTGGTATTCAAATTTAAAACATTATGTTCAAGCAAAAAAATCTTTCCCATCAAATCTACACAAATATTATTTCCTCTGTCTACATGCTGTCAAATCAACAATATGCTGTTAGCTCTATTTATATATAAAGAATCCAGGCTTTGCTTCCCGCGACAGATGCTTTGGAAACTTAGATCAAATCTGTTTCCAGACCACAACCTCCCTACTACTCTGTCTTCCCTTCCAGATTACCATTTAAAAATCATCTTTAAATTTAACTGCTGAAAGGTGTAGATTCTTCTTTTTCAGTCTTCACAGAGTTCTCATAACTGCAGCATATGGACGCTGAAGACTGATTCCTAATTAGCAATGCCAGCCATTATGCTGATTTTTACACTACATCTCCCGAGTGTAATGTACACTTCTATTCTGAATATTCTTTTCATGTTGATGCCACAGAGAAAGATGCTGGTTTCTAATAATTATGAATCTGAACATGATTTTGACTCAAGAAGAGAACAGAGCATCAGGACTGAAAAGGCGAATCCAGATTCTTACAGTAAAATGCCAGGCATGTAGGATCTGTGACTGTAACATAGTTTTGGTTTACTAAAAATCACCCCAGGCAGCAATATTTAGAGTTATTGTGACATATTTAGAGATATTTTATTTTTTTTAAAGGAACATTTACCTTGCTTACTGTTGCATGTTGAGTCACGTTAAGTTAAGTAATGGTCGAATGCTACACAAATGGACTGTAGTGCCTACCTCACTTTACTGAGGGTCACTTGCAGAATTAAACCACCAATCAATAAAACCTGCATTAAATTTTGTACCATTCAGACATGTCTGAAGAAAACTGAAAAAAATGTTTCATGTAAGTTCAGGTCCCAGAAGGGTTAACCCAACCAGACATTCGTCACCCACAGATACATACTGATCTCCTAAAAGTTTATTTGAAAGGCAAAAAACAACAAAAAAGTGGCCTTTCAGAAAAGATTTTGGGAGTTGGATGACAACATCCCTGCTGGGACCACAAAGACCCTTGACAGAAGTTCTGTGGCTCAGTTGTTGCTTCTCAAGTACAACTGATCACTATAATGCAATGACTGCACACGCATGTCCAACTGTAGCACAACAAGATGCAGTACGAAAGCAGAACCTCATTTTTTTGTTACAATAAATTATAACTGACAGTGGGAATATGCTTTGAAATCTGCTCTTCAGTGAAGCAGGATCAGCGAGTTCATACTGGTATTCTCTCAGGCAAGGCTAGCCAATATGTTACATCCTATGTGTTACCGAGCCATTCTGGCCTACCCGTGCCTTCACCCAGGAAGATTTAATGAAGATAGCAGTTCTAGGTCTCTTTCTTCATTGTCCAGATAGTTTACTTAAAGTACTATGGCCATGGGAGGCCATTTTCCTGCACTGCTGCTGCAGATCTATCAACTGTCTACAAGCCACTACAGAACACACATTGAAGGTATGTCAGGAGATGTGGGAAGCTAGGAGCCACTTCCATTTCATCCTCCCCTGCTCTGAGGCAGACCTGGCCTCCACAGAGCTCTTCACGATAAAACCAAAAGTGATGGATTTTTAACAAGAGAGAACTTTTCCAGTCCCAGGTTCCCTTTCTTCGCAGTGGGGGGGTACCAACAGCCCAATTCAGAGACAGAGAGACTTTTCTGGTTGTGTCACACACCAATAACAACTGCTCCTTCCTGGTTACACACCTCCGGTCCTTCCCCACTTAGGACAGATGCATCGCCATAGCAACCACAGCATCTGAAAGGCTTTGCATGCCTGTGGTGATAACGCTGCACATATGTAGCTGTGTGGGACATGCTCATGGTCTGGTACTACTCACCTTGCTTCACCCTAGCACTGCCCCTTCAGAAAGCTCTGACTTTGCTGATACTACACCCTGTAAAGTTATAGTACGCAGCATATTAATTCTCATGCTTAGGAAGTAAAATCTGTGCTAGTCTGGCCCTCACGGTTACTGAAGCAGAAGCCTTTGTGAGCAGGACTTTTTCTTCATTAAGATAAATTAAAATTCAAGTGTCTAAATAACATGTTTCATATTAAAATACTCTGCCTTTGCCTAATAGGGCTGCAAGGTATCATGCTTAGGATGCAGACAATATTTTTGAAGGAAGATTTCCAGGATTTGTTGGCAGCCTGGGAACAGTAAGCTACAAGAAGACGACTGGTGACATGATATTGGCTAATTTTGTTTTTAGCAGACTCATAAGATTCATAACAACTAAAAGCACAGCAGAAGCATCTGTATCATTACTGCTTCAGATAGTCTGTTATTTTAGCCCCAAGGATATGCAGGACTTTATTCATGAATCTACCTTTGCAGAGAAGGTAAAGTCTTGACAAACTAATGCATCTATCTGAACCTAAGACTAGCATATATCACACTACAGGGCACTAAAAATTACTGTGTCTGCAATTTGTGTTCTGTAAATTAGACAAGACTAATTTAAAATGAAGTCAAAAGAAATTTCCACTTCAAAGTTGCCAAACTCCCTCCCCCTAAAAAAAAGACAAACCTAAAAAACCTTCCACCAGTAAATTACATATTTAGGCCTAGCAAAACACAACAGACATTTAATGCCCCCACCAATTACAGCTATAAATTAATTATCTGTCCCTTTGTTTCCTGGTACCAATATCCAAATTATATTTGATGGATTATATTGAACGCTGCTACCTGCACACAAAAAGCTTTTTCAAAGAGTTCGCTTCTACTATACCTGTGTTGCTTAGCTCTGCTAGCTTTTCCACTTTTTGCCCAAGACATTTTTATGGTATTGGCCAGACTTAAGCTGCTCTTAATATCCAGAGAAAAACATTAGAATTACTGAAGTCTGCAATAAATTTCTGAACTGCTTTTGTTACTAAAAAAGCACACTTTCTTCATTTGATTTATTACAACAAAAAAATCAAATGAAATCTCTGGGTATTCCTTAGATCAGACATATGCAATTTGTTATAAAAAGTCTACTTATCACACTTTTGCACTGCACTCTGTTGATGTAAGTGTAAAATCAACTCAACCATGTTATTACTTGTTGTATATAGCCCACAATCTCACGGTGATCACACTAGTAGGTGGCTGAATTTTAGTGCTGGAGAGTGACAAAACTGTTTATTAAAAACTAAATTTAATGTTCCCTTGGATATGAGTGATATAAAAACACAGCTACTCCACAGTTCGTAACAGTCCCTGATAGAGGGTCATATTTCTCTGCTCTGCTGCCTTCAGAATAGAGGAAACTTTACTAATGAAGCATCAACCTATGTGCTACTGCAAAAGAAACAATAAGCAATGAGACATTACTCATTGGTAGCAATGGTTACTCATTAGTCATTGGTACTCTAGTGGTCACCTTTGAAAAATTTAAGATCATCTACTTTCTCTTTTTTTTAGGAGACTGAAGCAATGCTTCTTGGTTAGACAATAAATGCTCTGCGGAACCCATGGCAGTGACAGATTACAGAGGAACAGAAAGCTGACTAACAATGGCATTTTGAGTCTTCTGCAGCTATGTTTACATCTGTCCACAACCTACAGAAGTTCACCTCTCATCCACCTTTCTCTACTTGTCCATTTACTTATTCTAACACAGTAGATGGTTTTATTGCTTTCCACATATATATTCTGTCTTGGCTGACCACAGGTATTTATTCTGTTCTTTTTCTCTTCTTTTTTTCCACATAGATACATCGACTGATCTCTAAGAGCAGAACACTGACCTAATTCTTACGAGTTTTAGTACAGCTTGACTGCCAGGTTCAGACTAGTAACCACGGCAGCTGTATGTTAATGTCATCTCCCTTTGTTTTAGCAAGGCTTTAAACACGATCTCCTAAAGCATCCTTATATGCAATTTGGGACATCCTGTCTAGATGGGTGGACTACTAGGTAGGTGAAAAACTGGATGGATGATCATGTTCAAAGGGTAGGGGTTATCGGTCTGTACTCTACTGGGTGACTCATTACAGGTGGAGTTCCTCGGGGGTCCAGGGTAGACCCTGGGACACACTCTGTTTCCTATCTGCACCAGTAACCTGGAGGAGGACGCAGAATGGGCCCTCATCAAGTTTGCAGATGCCAAACTGCGTGACGCAAGTGACTTGCTCAAGGGAAGGGCTTCCATTCAGAGGGACCTTGATATGTTACAGGCATGGGCTGGCAGAACTTTGTGAAATTTGATGAGGACAAATACAAAGTTCTACATCTGGGACAGACTAAGCCCCACAGCAGTACAGGCTGGGGACTGACTGGCTGTGGAGCAGCCTAGATGAAAATGACCTGGGGGTCCAGGCGGACACGAGCACAGTGCACGCTGGCAGCAATGAAGGCTAACAGAAGACTGGGCTGTATCAGCAAGAGCCTAGCCTGTACACAGAGTGAAATCATTCTTCCCCTTTACTCAGCACTCATTAGACCCTGTGAGGAATACTCTGTCCGTGATGGGCCCTGCACTACAAGACAGATGTTGATAAACTGGAGCAAAGTCAGTGGAGGGCCTCCAAGATGGTCGGGAGCTGAAGCACATGACCTGCAAGGGGAGGCTGAGGGAACTGGTCTTGTCTAGCTCGGAGAGCAGACAGCTTAGGGCGACCCACCAGCACCCTTCTGATACTCATCGAGAAGATGGAGGCCACCTCTTTACTGAGATGTGTGGTGGGAAGACAACAGAAGACATGGTTGGATGACAGGTTCCCAAAGTTGTTGTCATCAGCAACCTGCTCTGAATTCAGTGTTAATCCTGTTGAGTGTGAGGCTGCACCAGGTGACCTCTTGTGATCCCTTAACCTCAGAATGATTTTGTGGTAAGCATTGCGCTAAACAGCAGTCCTCTGTTCTACCAGATCAAAAATAAAGAAAACAACTTACCAACCAAAACGACAAGCCTGTATTTCTCATTAGGTTGTCGTCTATATTTTGCAACTTCTTCGTATGTGGGGATATCTGCTGTATCATACTGATCACTCTTCTTGCACTCATACATAGATTTGTTTGTTTTTTTATCTTTTCTGCTAAGACGAAAGCTTCTTCTAAAACCAGCTGTAATAAGAACAGGATTTTTTTCAAAGTAAGAAAATAAGTCTTCTCAAAATATTTGAAAACAGTCTCTTCCAAACATTCAAGGATTGGTGCACGGAATAAAAAACTGATTATATGTTTAATAAGCCAGGTCATTAGAACAATATTTTCCCACAGTTTTAAACTATATCAGGTGCCTATTTAAACTGCAAAATTAAGATTACCAATTAAATCATAAAAGTTGCAACAACAAGCTGTAAAATATATTACAATAAGTTAACATATTTAGATAATTTGAGTATCTTGCACATTAGCATATATACACAAGGAAATTCGTGCAATCTGGACTCTCATACCACACTTACTGCATTTCTATTAAATCACCATGGCACACAGACATCAAATACAACATATGGCAGAGACACATCTGGTGGCTGAAAGGGTTAATTAGAATTAACTCCTTGAACAATTTTGCTGATAGTGTAACAAAAGTGCACAACACCTTTTTCTGAAGATATTTAAAATAAAACCAAACACTGTTAGTTAAATTCTGAAACACTATGAAACACCTCAGACAATACAGTACCCACAGGATGGATACATTAGCATGAAATTAAAAGTTAATATTCCTATTAAATTTGCATTTATATTTGCATCAACAGTGTGACATCTACAGTGCCCATCTAGAAGAATGGAAATTTCACACAGCTTTTAAGTACTCTCAAAGGAGACAATCATACGCATTTTCAAGCAGAAAAGCACAAAAAATCCTTCTACACTATAGATTAAAAACTAATTTACTCCTCTGTTAATGATTACCTTACAGTTTTTCAAATAAATCCTTTACATCACATTACATTACATTTTCCTGGTATCTCTATGGCACTACTTTTGCTCTAGAAGGAACTACAGGAAGGACTGCTAAGGAGGACTGCAAAGCTGATTATATTATTTGGGGGTAATAAAGCAAAACACAAACTACACTTTAAATACCAGAAAAATCCAAACACTTTTCTTTTTTTCTTTCTTTCCCAGAACATTTCATAGGACACTAAACATGTGTAAACTTCTGGTGACCTCTGATTTTTCAGCAATATGTTTTCATAAACTTGTAAAAGCACTTATGCTCAGGTGTTTGAGAAGAAATCATATTACAATTTTTTCTTCAAAGGTAGTATCTGGCAAATTCAATACTCACTTCTGCAAATATTTAGAACCAGATCTGAAGTGAAATCCTGCAAGGCTTAGTTACAGGCTTAGCATTTTGCACACATACAGTTCCACTTAGCATAAATCTTTGCAGAACCTGGATCACAGACAATGTTAACCAAGTTATTTTATTGATGTAAGCCCCAACACCTATGGGAATTTACAAGACGTTTTACACACAAAAAGGGAAGAAAAATTTCTTTGAAAATACAGTGATGCTGACCTATTCATATTTAAAAATATGAATAAGTAATATGAGAATCAATGAAAAAAGAAAAGAGCTAGCAGCCACAGAAAAGGCTGATGACGGCTTTAAGAGCTACAGCATTGTCTAGACTGAAAAGGACATGGGCAGGGATAGAAAAGGGACCAAAATATGAGATATGAAAACATAGTGAAATAAACTGAATTATGTTATGATTTAAAGAATAACACGAACACCAAAGTGACTGCAGTCAGAAAAGCCCAGCTGGTGTGCTGACAGCTGCGGGCATATACAGCCAAGGGAGGACCCTGGAGATACTGTCTGCTCTAGGGTAAAGCCCGTCATGACACGAAGACATTTTCTTGGTACATAACTACACCTAACTCTACAGACAATTATACAAAGAAAGGTTAAAAGTAACATCAGCAATACAGACACAAAGTGTGTTCCAAGGCCTAATGTAAAAGGCTCCAGAATAAAAAATATCAGTTGCCCTGAAAGCAAGCTAAAAATTGTTCTGTTTCCATTTTATGGAAGAAAGAAAAGAGAGAAAAGTAAAAAGAAAGAATAGTTCTTTACCATTTGCTATTAAATGGTTGACAAAATAAAGAGCTTTGTCACAAAAATCAGAGTCCACGTATCTGGAGAAGGTAAAAAACAAGGGTAGAGATGAAATGAAACTAAACCAATAGTCTCTATTTCTGTTTTCTGTTTGGTGTTGACCTTGCAAATACCAAGAGCTCTGTGCCTCTGAGCAGCCGTCTCACAGTGCCGTTACCAACAGCTTCCTAACCTTGGCTTACATGCCGAACTGCGGAATCTTTAGGAAAAACACCCTTTTTGCAAAATCTTCATACCAATTCAATATTCAGTGCTGTTAGGTGTTAGAAGACCATTTGTAACTTGCTTGTCTTTTCTGCATGCACTTTATTCAGATTTCACTACCAAACTACCAGGTGGTAGGTTATTTAAGAATTTTCATTCTTTCTTCTCTTGAAAGAGTAAAAAAAACCCCAAAAAACCCAAAACCAAAACAAAACAGATTTTTTGTGTGTGTGTCAAAAGGGACAAAAGTAAGAAAATCTTTCAGTGTTGTCTTCAGGCTGATTCATGCCTTGTCACTTCTACAGGCTGCATATAAAGCGTCACAAAGACTCTGGTGATACAGCTCCACTGCTAACATGGGTTTCCTTGATTAAAACATTTGATTGACTGAAACTCACTGGTAAAATGGAAGTAGGAATATTGTCCTGTATATTAAGAAGGTTCAGCAACAAGTTCACCTAGGACTTAGACTTTACAGAAAAGCGACTATACTAACTAAAAAGAACAAACAAACATGGGAGCCAGAGATAACAAAGCAGATTTCCAGTATGGCCAGCTTTTCTGCAGGGTACTGGTGAAGATGCTCTGTAAAACCAATGAGTATTAAAAATGTGTGATATGCTGCTTGCTTTGTCACTTGAAGACTACTGTCAATTTGAAAATTGTTTTAAGTGTTCCTCAAAGCCCATCTGAAAAGCCCTATAGAGAAACCCAAGAAAGCTTGCTTTAAAACCAGCTTTCAGAATGAAGAAAAATGTACAGTACAGAGAGAAAGGATGAGACTGTTTCAAATATATCCAAAATTTTTGTGCTACTGCTACTTCACTCCTGGAAACGTGATTCTTTGTCTCTCACATTTGCCATTACACATCCCCATATATGTGGCTTAACTTTACTACGACCTTCAGAAGCTATTTTATACAGACGCATTGATAAATATTTTTATTGAACTCTGCATTTATAATTACATTATATATTGGGAAGCTATGACGGTGCAAAAAGATTAAGCTGAACGGCAGCAACACCATACTTACAGGGAATAAAACCATTTATGAACATGCAAAGAATACTCTGCTAATGTTTGCATATTTAAACGTTTAGGAAAAATGAAAAAAATTTCATATATTTAAATTAACAACAGACCATTATTAAAAATATAGTGAAAATCACTACAGAAAACCAAAACCAATACTGATATGCAATAGAAAAATAAAGTTCATATAAAATAATTAAGCTTAAAAGTAAATTCCTATAAAGAACAAAGGGAAAAAGAATTGCTTGCCCAGACTATTTCATAATATAAACCTCAATGACTATGAAATGAGCTGGAGGCTATACTGTCTGTAGAATATGGATATCAGCAGAGATTAACCTTAGTTGCCAAGTATGTAGACTATAAAATAAAAGGGGAAAATTCTGTCACTAAAGCAACATAAAGTTCTGAACATTCAGAAGCTTGCATCAGCTCATTGGTTTCAGCTGTATGACCAGAAGATTACTGAACATGCAAACCCATAAACTACTGCTGGAATGTAAGAAGTTTGTGAAATAAGAACAGCACTGGGAAGAAAGTATGAAGAACAAATGTTTTCAGACTACAAATGTCTCCAAAGCTTGTAACGCTTCTTGACATGAAATAAAAATCAAAAGCCACTACTAATAAACTTAATTAAAGCCCAACAACAATCCAAGAGAAAGTACTTACATCTCTAAGAATGAAAAAAAGCCTAGCAGAAAAGTGTGATTATTCTTTTAACCACTAGCAATATACATTTGGTCATCTCAGACCCACATCCTTACATTTACATAGAGAAATCCACTTGGACCTCACAGAGAAATCCAAACTGAAAACAGGCAATGCATGAACCCGTCTGCCATAAAATATTTTAAAAGCGTGCTGATGTAAAAAGCTGTGCTTATGTAGATTCAACTGTATCATTCTAAAGAAGACGTGAACAAAAGATTGCAACTGTTGTGTGAATTTAAATCCCAATATATTAACAGAAGTTAATTTGTCAAATTCAGAGAAATAACAGTAACAAAAAATATTATAATTTAAATTCACCTATGCTTTGTAAATTCACCAGTAAGGCTCCAGAATGCTATTAAGCACTTACACATGCTTTTGTTCATTTTCATTCATTAAAACAAGCGCTTACGTATGCATTTAAGTTTTTGTAAATGCATTTGCAAGCACTCTTTGTATTTGTATTCATATTACTGACAAAAGTAAGTTTGGTACCATGGTCTTTATCTAGGCTTGTATAAATACAATATTTTTACTAGGTATTTCTGGAATTTTTTCTCCCCAAATATTGGGATTTTTTTATACTGGCTCATATACTGAGTATTTCTATTGTTACACAGGAACTGCACAAACACAGAGCAGACTTCTTACTCTGTCTGCTTCTGGACTGATTCCCAGCTTGCACATTTAGACAAGGTTAATAAAAATTTAGATTATGTCTCGATTTTTAAGACAAAATTGAGAATAGTAAACAGATGATATTCATCTATATTTACTGTATGTTCATAAAGGTTCAAGTAATGTAACTAGAATTTAAGCTTGGCAAAGGCAAACGCCTAATGTTCTCCCCAGCAATTCCTCAGGAAATTACTGCAGAAACGTACAATACTATACTGTGACTTAAATATTAGCATTTGGTAAAAAATCATGAAATTTATCTGAGTCACTTTAGAGGAGAGAGTTCAAATTAATAGCACCATAACCCTGGACATAAAAGATCTGACCCCAAATGGTACAGACATTCTGCTTTCTGAA